GCCTGGGCAACAGAGCGGGACTTTGTCTAAAAAAAAACCCAACAAGATGGGAGGGGAAGATTTTGTGTAACATATTTGTTGTTCAGATGACTTTTAGGTCTTTTAAAAAATCTGTTAACATTCCATGGTAGTTTTATATTGATGTTACCACTTAAAAATGAAATAGCTATTCAGTTTGATTTTTCTGCTGGGGTTTAGTTGTTCTTTTTTAGTATTTATCTTGAAAGCTTATTTTTTCCAATTAGCTTTGCTTTTTCAATTTTTATTTCTATTTCTTAGAAGTATTTTAACATTTCTTCAGGCTTCAGTATATTATCTTAGAACCCCTTCCAAATATCTAAGTACCTATTTAGTTCACTAAAGTATTAAATAAGATGATTACGATCCAGATCAGTTAATTCATGAGAATTTATTTATTTTTACATTTAATTAATTAATTAATTAATTAATTTTTACTTATTTATTTTTGAGACAGGGTCTCTCCCTGTTGCCCAGGCTAGAATACAGTGGTATGATCATTGCTTATGGTAACTTCAGACTCCTGGACTCAAGAGATCCTTCCGCCTCAGACTTCCAGAGCACTGGGACTATAGGGGTGAGCCATTGGGCCCAGCCTTATAAGCACTTATTTAAATGAATAACTCTTTTTTTTTTTTTCTTTTTTTGAGACGGAGTCTGGCTCTGTTACCCGAGCTGGAGTGCAGTGGTGTGATCTTGGCTCTCTGCAGCCGCAGCCTCCTGGGCTCAAGCGATTCTCTTCTCAGCCTCCCAAATGGCTGGGATTACACGTGCCCGCCACCACACCCAGCTAATTAGTGTGTGTGTAGTAGAGATGGGGTTTTACCACGTTGGCCAGGCTGGTCTCAAACTCCTGACCTCAAGCAATCTGCCCACCTTGGCCTCTCAAAGTGCTGGGATTACGGATATGAGCCACCTCACCAGGCCTTAAATGAGTAACTCTTAGTGTATTCTGTTCACTACAAGAGGGTGATAATACCAAAATAAGTGATAAAATAAACAATGACAGTAAAACAATTTAATATGAACAGAAAATAAAGGAAAAGTGAATTAAATTTTCATATACTAAGCTCCTGGATATTTTACTGGTTTTTTTTTTTTTTTAAACTGCATAAAAAGACAGCAGGCTAACAATAAAGAGAGAGCGTTAACAGATGTTCCACAACAGAAGGCTTCATCAGTCTAGTGATCCTGTTAAGATGATGAACTGATTGCTCATTGGCTAAAATCTAAACGATTGATGTAAGATTGAAAGAATGTCATAACCGTAGCTTTCTGCTACGTAAAACTTGCATCTCTCCCACTTCATGCCTTTTGGCTTTGAAGTTTCATTATTATTTTTGTACTTTGTGGCTGTCTGCACAAAATACTCTAGCATGTTCCAAGAGTTTATGAACATAAACGGTAGATGACATCTTCAAAGGCTAGTGACCCAACAGATACTTGTTTAGCACTGACTTTGTTCTGTCAAAGCCATGCTGAAGTGTCAAGACTTTATATGTGGAGATTATCCGCTAAATTAGAGCCATAGGAATTTGGACTTGTCAACAACCTGCTTAAAACAGTGCCCCAGTACATAGGCAGTCCTCAGTAATTGTTAATTGCTGTTATCCCTTCTCTTCCTGTTCAATCTTTTATCTGCGACTTACTCTATTGGTTCACATGCTCTAGCCACAGCAGCCTTCAGGTCCTTCCCACCATAGAGCCTTGGTTTATTCTATTCTTGGTGCCTGGAATAGTCCTCCTTTTCTCCCCCTTCTGCCTATCTGCTGTATCATTTTCTCAGGGACACTGTCAGTGACCTCTCATTTTAGGTTAGACCTGCCTTTATATTCTTTCTTATCGCCTAGTACTTTTACTTCATAGCAGTTTAAATAATTTTTTTATTGTTGGCTTAATTTGTTTCCCTCCAGTTGAAAATAAGCTCCTTGAAAGTAGGAATCATATCTCTCTTGATTGCTTTACCCCATCCCCTACAGTAGTGGTTGATAAGGAGCTGGTGTTTGATAAGTATATGGGGAGTGAATAAATTAGTAGGTGGAGTGATACAGTTTGGATGTTTTGGGCTTGGGGTAGAAAAGTAAACTGAGGAAAGAGAGCACATTTAGAAGCTGTAAACATCACTCTCAAGTTTCTGTTCAATTGTTCCCATCTTTGAAACTGTGGGTTTCGGTGCTTATATTCTGTGATACGATTTGGGATAACTGGCGTTTATCTCAAGTGGAATGTCCACAATCTTAATAGTTATCAAAACTTTTCTACGCTCATTATGAAATGAAAATTTAAAATCTGAAAAAGATCTTTATTTGTTTTACAGATAAAAAATGGACATAATATGGTAGTGTATCAGATTGCATTATTAGTTATCAGTAGAGCTGGCACTAGAACCTAGGTTTCCTTACCTCCCCACCTTTTTTTTTTTTTGCAGACCAGGCTTTCACTCCCATTGCCCAGGTGGGAGTACAATGGCTCACTGCAGCCTCACCCTCAGCGCTCCTGGGCTCAAGCAATTCTCCTTGCCCAGCACCCCAAGTTGCTGGGACTACAGGCATGCTCTACCCACGACCCAGCATATATATTATATTATATATTATATATATATTTTTTTTTTTTTTGAGACAGGGTTGCTCTGTGTTGCCCAGGCTGGTCTTGAACTCCTGGCTCAAGTGATCTGCCTGCCTGGATTCGCAAGTGCTGGATAACAGGCATGAGCCGATGAACCCGGGCCTCCCTACCCATTTTAAGCTATGCCTTTAGGTTAGCTGGTTACCCTTTTCAGAATAAAGAGTGATATAAGGATGATAAAAGCTAACTTTTTTCTGATTAAATTGCTTATGAGAATATTTTACTGGGGGTCTAATTACACACTCAAAACCTTTGGAGAGTAAGTATATAATGCTTTGAATCCTGCAGAATATCGCCCCAAAGCTGTGCTGTTACAGTACCCATTCCCCAATTCATACAGTTTTCA